AGGCGGGCCGCCAAGCGCAAGAGGTTCATCAACGCCCTGCGCCGCAACTGTTTCAAGGTTCTTCAGAAAGACTGGATGGCTGGCCCACAGGCTGGCGCCAAGCAACGCCATCCGATACACGGGTTGCCGAGGTCTTCCGTCCTTCAGTTGGGGAGACGCTTCGGTGCAGTTGCAGGTGGACATCAACGAGATCGCTGTCTTACTCATTGTTGGACACGCGCGCGCCTGGGGCGCCCTCACCAGGTGTTTAGCAGAGTGGCTCAAAGCATGGCTTGCAGCTCCTCGGGCGTGCGACCCAGTGGCGCGAGTTTGGCAAAGTGCAGCTCGCGATTTCAAACTGCGCGAAGCCCGGCATCGAGCGCGCCTTATCCGCGGTCCTCTGACGGCGGCTTTGCACTACCTGGTCGACGCGGGTCGGGACCTCGGCCTGCGCTCTGGTCTCCTACAGCTGGCGGGATGGGCCGTCAGGCGGATTGGGATTGCTCCAGCGGCGGCTTCGACTCCATGGATCCAGCGGAGGAGGTGGTGGATGCTTTCGCTCACACCATTCAGCGGAAGCGGCGGCAGCTTGCAGCATCATCTGCAGTCTGCGGCAGCGGCATGGAGCACGGAGTAGATATGCTATCGCTTCGCAAGCATCCGTATCAGCTCGAGAGTACCCCCAAGATAAAGTGGGAAGTATTTCTCAATTGTTGCCCGCCATCACAGCCAGGGGACCTTGGACAGGTTCTCGCGCAGCCAGGCCCCGCCAGAAGGAAAACGACATAAGGAACGCAGCCCATTTTTTCATAACCAAATACTAACTATGTAAAGAACGGCCGAGCCCCTGTTCGGAAGCGCCCCCTCATCGTTGCCTCTCGTTTTGACAGAGACCCCCCCTTCTGCCGAGACCTAAGGAACGGGTGGCCGCGGCACGCAGCAGGAAGAAAGAGGGAACAACAACACAAAACGCAACTGGTGAGCGCCGCGCAAGGAACGGCTGGGCGATTGCACATTTTTTAATAAAAAAAAATGGACGCGCGAGTGGGGGGAGAGAAAGCCCAAACGGCCCCCCTGGTCAACTTTGGACCTGCACCGATCGCAAGTAACCGAAGAGCTCGCGTGTCTTGACGTGACCACTGCTATGTTTGGGTATTCGCGCTAGCCTCAAACCGCATCGCGCAAGGAACCCAGAGGCTTGCGCGAGGAATTGGGCCCTTACGCGACCACTTTCATATATTGCTATACACGCGAACCATAAAACGCGCGCCGCAAGGAATGGCTCAAACGAACCGCGGCACATTATTTTCGCAGCGGCGTAAGGAAAACAGCGCCTATTCGAGGCCCACCCGTTCCTTAGATCAACCGCCGCATTCGGCGAATCGATTGCGCGGGCGCCATAACCCAAGGAACGCCGAGGGGGATTCGTGACGCAATGGCGAGAGAACGCCAGCAGACCCAAGGAAGCACCGAGCCCCTTCCGAACCCGAACTGGACCTTATTTCAGGAGCCGCACTGTAAATCAGAGAAGGGACATCACATGACATCGGGTTGTGCCAGGTGCGGCGAGGAACGTAAGACCCCTCGCCGGCGTCTCTGGACATGCAGGTGCAACTCAGGCTCGCCAGCATTTGATGTGTCTCAGGATCTGTGCAGCAGAGCTTGGGGTTCAAGGAACTTGTATGTAATGTTTGTGGTATCGAAGTTTGACCCCCTCGCGGCCCACAGCAGTCGACCTTGCAACACTAGGGGAACCATGGACGGCGAGTCACAACGACATGATTGATCAATACTATTTTTTGGGAAGAAAACCTAAACATGCACACGTGTATACCCATGGAGATGCGTCTGGCAGCCTCGACACGCATGATCCTCGACTTTTTCGGGTAGGGTTAGCAGTGTCGGCCGTCGGGGATTTTTCAGGACCAGGGTCAAAATGTGTATACGGACCGCTGCCAGGAGTCAGACAAACGGTACATCGTGGTGAACAGCTGGCGCTGCTTATGAGCATGCGTTGGTCTAGCGGTTTCATGGCGCACAATACCAACAACGAAGGAGTTTGTCCAGGATGGTGGGAATGACGTTTAATTCAAGCTCAGAGCCAGCTCGCATCGTCAACTAAATCGTACAACACGGATATCTGGGGCAAGTCGGGCGGCTGTTACATGAGCAGGACAGGCATCATTCGAGGATTGCAATGATCAAAGTACCATCACACGTCACGGGCGAGGAGGTCGTGCAGCAAAGGCTCGTGGGCCGGCACATCGCTGGCAATGTCGTCGTGGATCACCTGGCGCCCGTGACTGCCAAGGAAGCAAGGACCCCAGGCGAGAAAAGAGCGCGAGTCGAGCTGGTGGAACACGAGGCTCGGCTCGTGCGGCAGAGGCTCCTGCGAGCCACGCTGGAGGCTGCTGCCAAGGATGTCACACAACTTAGAGCTCGTCCATCGGCTGCCGCCGTCCGCACTCCCCCTCCCGCTCTGTCTGCGGTCGCCCTCCGCCCTCATCCCCCTCCATTCTCCCTCATCCCTCCTCCCTCCCTCTTCCTCCCTCCTCCGCCCTGACGCCCTCGTCCGCCCTCCTCCGCCCGTGTCCCTCTTCCCTCCTCCTCCTCCCCCTTCCTCCTCCTTACTCCTCCGCCTCCCTCCTTCTCCTTCGTCCTCCTCTCCCCCCTCCTCCCCCCCTCCATCCCTCCCTCCTCCCATCCCTCCTCCCTCCTCCCTCCTCTCTCCTCCCTCCCTCTCTCCTCCCTCCCTTCGCTCCTTCCTATCTCATCCATCCTCCCTCCTCCCTCCACCCTTCTCCCTCCTCCCTCCCCCATCCTCCCTCCTCCATCCTCCCTCCACCCTCCTCCTTCACCCTCCTCCCCCCCCCCCGCCCCCTCCTCCCCCCCCTTCCTCCCTCCTCCTCCTTCCTCCCTCCTCCCCTCCTTCGTCCCTCCTCCCTCCTCGTCGTCCTCCTCCTCCTCCCTCCTCCTCCTCCCCCCTCCTCCTCCTCCTCAGCCTCCTCCTCCTCCTCCGCCTCCCCATCCTCCTCCGCCTCCTCCTCCTCCTCCTCCTCCGCCCGCCCTCCTCCTCATCCTCACCATCCTCCCCCTCCTCTGCTTATTCGTCTTAGTCTTGTTGCTAGTTGTATCAGCAGTCCCCTTCTTAGTCATAGGATTATTCGTGCTATCCTGATCATTCGTATGATCAGTAATATTCGTGGCGTGTCGGTGCTCGTCGTATGGGTCGGATTCTTTTTGATAGCAATAATATAGTATTCGTGTAAATAGTGTTGTCACGATTCGTATTGTGTGTCGACTTGATTGATAATATTATTGTCAGCTTGTTAACATTCGCAGTCGTATGGTTGATACGAGTAATATTATGCGACGTACTAGTATTAGTTTGTTTGTTCGTCGTCTGCTTCTCCTCTTCCTCCTCCTACTCCTCCTCATCATCATCCTCATCAACATCAGCATTAGCATCATCCCGCTCTTGCTTCTCCTCCTCCTCCTCCTCCTCCTCCACTTCCTCCCCTTCATCTCCCCTTCCTCCCCCCTATTCCTCTCCGCTTCCTCTCTCCGCCCTCCTACTTTCGCCCTCCTCCTCCTCCTCCTCCTCCTCCTCCTCCCGCCTTCCTCCTCACGCCCTCCTCCCGCCCACCTCCTCCTCTTCCTCCTCCTCCCTCGTCATCCTCGTTGCTTCCCCCAGCGCACCGTACACCTTGGCTCAAGCCCCTGGCTCAAGGTTGAAGTCAGCCCTTGGCGCGGCCACCTGGGGGCTGGAGTCAGCCCTGGAATTCGGCCAGCCTGAGGGGCGCCTCGAGGGGCCTCGTCCTCCTCCTCCTCCTCTCGGCGCCTTTCTCCGTGGTCCCATGGAATCGCCCTCGGCCCGGCGTCGGCGGCAGCGCGCCGCAGTGCGGGCCGCCTGCGCTGCGCGGCCTGCGGGCGCCGCGGGCGCCGCCAGCGCGGCTGGTGCCGCCAGCGCCCGGCTTCGCCTGAGACGTCCTCACCATATATGACACCGAAGATTCAACTTCGCAGCAGTTTCACGTATGGAGGGTGGCTCCTTTTCCAAATGTGGTTATCGCCCTAGCGCCACGCGGCTTGTATGCAAGAGCTTCACGGATGGAGGGCGGCTCCTTTTCAAAAGGTGGTTCCCGCCTCAGCACCACGCGCATTCGTCTGAAAAGTTTGCAAGAGCTTCGCAGCTGGAGGGCAGCCCCTTTTCAAAGTGTGGCACCTTAGCGCATTCGTCGCCTGCACAGAACTTCACGGATGGAGGGCGGGTCGTTTTCAAAATGTGGTTCTCGCCGTAGCGTCGCGCACAGTCTTCCCACAAACCTTTTCCGGATGTTCACGGATGAAGGGCGGGTCGGTTTCAAAATGTGGCTCCAGCTTAGCGTTCAGCGCCGAGCACATCCGTTTTCAAGTTTGCAAGAGCTTCACGGATGGCGGGCGGGTCGTTTTCAAAATGTGGCTCTTCCCTCAGCGCCGAGCGGGTTCTGAAGGAAACTGTTCCTGGACCGCGGAGCCTGTCCCATGACCGCCCATGACCGCCGAAGGGCCCGGGGACCGCCTGGGATCCTGAAAACGGCGATGTCTTGGTTCGTCATCGTCGCCGTCGTCGTCGTTCGTTGTCGTCGTCGTCGGAGAACATCGAGGGCTCTGGTCCCCCCCTGCAAGCGAAGAGTCACTCCTGCGTGCAGTCGGCTGGAGAACCACCCGCAAAAACGGGCAGCCCCCCACAAGCGAGACTCTCGTGCAAACGTGCCCACAGGGCTGATTATGAAAGCGCAGGACCATTTTGCGCCACCCTTGGGGATCGGGGTGATGGGTGGCTCCACACCCCTGACTCGGAGGCGACGACGAGGGCCAGCAGCCCAGGGGAAAGCCACCCATGCATCCAGGGGCGACGGTGGCCCATACATCTTCGGCGAGGCTCTCCGGCGGGAGCGTGCAGTGCCCGCCCCCTTGGGCCATTCGCCCCGCATCGTCGCCGCCGATCGACCTCCGCAGCGGCCGACCCGCGGCCCCGCCTTGGCGCTCCTCCTGCCCGGCGCGGGCGACGCGTCCTGCGGGGCCCCGGGACGGCTCCGCCCGCGAGTCGCGGCGGCGGCGGGCGAGGCGAGCGGGCCGCCTCGCAGCGGACCCCACGAGGGAGTCTTGGCTCGCCATCGCTCGGACGTCCATTCCCCGTGCACGTTTCGGTTTCGTGCGTGTATTGTTTCGCAAGGTGGACACGAATGCTCCTCGATGGTCCACGTCCGAGCGACGTCAAGACGAGGGAGTCTTGGAGAACGAGGGCGGGGAGAGGTGCCATGATGCGAGTGGCTCTGGAGGCGCTCCAGAATTTCCAAAGCATCCGTGGGCCCTCGTCTCTGCAGGAACCCGTGCGGCATGGAACCTTGGGAACCCGGGGGATGCTGGAGCGCATCGTCACCACGACTTCTGGCTGCTGCTCTGAGTGATGTCCCTTTCTACTTCTGCCCAGCGGAGGCCAGCCCGAAGATGATGGGGGGTGCGGGATGATCCTCCTCCAAATCCTCCTCACCTTGGTGGTTGTTTTCTTATGCATTGTTTTGCCGAGCGGCGTGGGCCCTCGCACCCCTCCCCCCCCAATGGAGTAGATCGTGGCTGCTTTAGGCGCCTGTGTCAAGCAGGTGGAGTCTCCCACATAGGACGCACTGTTGCAACCAGTCGCGTCAAGCAGAGGTCTGGAGCCAGACCCCCACCCCCTCCCCTGCCGCCCAGATCACCGAAAAAGAAAACGTTAATTTGCTCATGCTCGTCATCCTTGTTCATCCTCCTCATCATCCCTGCTCCCTCCTCCGCCCTGCTCTCCTCTTTCCCTGCCTTTGCTCTCGAATCTCCTCGCTCCACTCCCCAATCCTCGACCCTCCCTCGTTCCGATGTCTGCCTCACATTGTCCGCGTTCGCGATCAGGATATCGACTGTTTGCTTCCCGCGGGTGTACATCGAAAGTGCCAACCGCAATGTGCTCACCTGCGTCATCCGTGTACCCGCACGTGTCCTCACCTTACGAGTGGCGCTCCACGCGTTCTTGCGTACAGAGCCCAAGAGGTCTGCTCGGGCACACGTGTGCGAAGCTTTGGCCCGTGGGCCTCCTCCGCCTTCTCCTCCTCCTCTGCCTCCTCCTCCTTCTCTTCCCTCATGGCCCCAACGATACGATCATGCGGCTGGGGGGCCCTCCTTGCGCGGCGGCGTCGAGGGTGATACCTCCCACCACCTCTCGCTTCCCCACCGCGCGCTGCACTGACTCCCTCGGCGGCGCGACGCCGAGGCGCAGGGGGGGGGGGAAGACGAGGACGAGGGCGAAGAAACAACTCTGCATGGTCAGGTCGAGTGTGTTGTAGAAGCTTGTCAAGAGACTGTGCGAGAGCAGTGCGTGTGACATTCGGCAGCTCGCGGCAATGCCAGCGGAAGCCTGGAGAACCGCTGTGCGGTACTACTGGTCATGGTGTCACACCTCTGCCCATGTGCTTCGACACCCAGGTCGCATTCATTCACTCCTTCCTGCCTGACCCCACGTCCACGATGACCCCTCCCTGCCAATCGTTGCTGATGCTGCTGGGACACAGCCGCCCGACAGGCTCGCGAGCTGCAGCTGCCGTGGAAGATGTTGATGATTCGAGGAATGCGAGGGAGAGGGAGTGGTAGAAAGAGGGAGAGAGTGAGAGTGAGAGTGAGAGTGAGAAAGAGAGAGAGAGAGAGAGAAAAAAGCCCTGTCCCTCCTATCGCTGAAGGCTCTCTTTATCTCGTTCTATCTCTCTCTCTCTATCTCTCTCTCTCTCTCTCTTACCGCCTGTTTTCAACAGCAGCAGGGTCGGCGGCATGGCCATGACCGCCAGCGGCAGCGACAGCGCAGACGCCAGGACGAGGGTCAAGGCGACCGCGCCCTGGGCCTGCCCTCTGCGTCCTTGCTGCTCTGGTGCGCCCCACGCCACTGGTGTCGGTGTTGCTCCGTTGCGTCGGCGCTGCTCCCCGGCGCGAGAGCATCCTCCCAGGCGTTCAAGGATGAGGAACCTCACGATCGGCTTCACGCACGGAGTGCCCATTCAGATTGTCAGATCCTTGGCAAAACCACGACGCTCATCTTGGAGCTCGATGCTCCGGGATCAACAGGCGCGTTGCCCTCGGGCACCCCATGCTCGTCTAGAGGCATTGAATAAGACCTTCTCCGTAACGTGGACAAAGAACGCGACAGAGATAGAATCCATAGCAAACGAGATACAGCTGAACGATCAAGGGGAAGGAACTGTCCAAATCTCCCGGGCCCTGTCAAGTGTGTTGACCAAAGTAGATCATCGAGAAATGTTGAAATTCTGTACAACTTTGGGCCTGCAAGCCGCGGCCCCTGACCCAGGCAGGAGTGGAAGGGCATGAAAACGAGCAAAGCCAGAGTGGAAAGGCACGAAATGAGCGAGCGGGAAATGATTTCACCCGAGGACTCTCCTGCCCCGATCCCCCTCCACTGCTTTCTCGCTGCGACTCCTCGTGGATGAGGTGTAGTCCTCGACGATGCTGTTGTGGACCTCCCGGAGGAGAGAGACATGCGTGGACTGGGGCGGATGGAGGATAGGGAAGTGAAAGGGCTGTGCTCTCTTTCAGTCACCACCGGCGACTGATTGATTGCATACGTCGATTTCAGGAGTCTCCGTATCCTGTTCAGCCCATTGGCCTTTTGTATCTCGCACCCGCCCTGAGCGCTTCCACTGGCGACCAACAAAACGGACTAGTATGACAGAGCAAGGAAAAACGACATGAACGTACACGTTCGGAGGTTCGAACGGACCTTTGGGATCGGCGATGGCCCCCTCCTCCCTGGCGCACGAAACGCGCAAGGGGAGGCGCTGGAGGCACCGACCAGGGGATGGGCCCATCGCCGACTCAAAAAAGCCCACGCGGACCTCCGAAAGTTCAGATGTATGTCGTTCGTTGCTTGCCGATCTGAAGAAGCTGGAGACGCTCATCGCAGAATTCGCAGGTGCAGCACTCCATAGTTCGGGGTCGTCCCCATAGGCCATAGGACTCGCTACCATAGGGTTCGCTCCCATAGCCCATGGGGTTCGCCCCCATAGTGTTCGCCCCTCTGCCCCGGGGGCCTGTGAGGCCTGCGAAACCTGTGGGACCTGTGGGGCCTCTGGGGCCTGTGGGGCCTGTGGAACCTGTGGAACCGGTGGGGCCTGTGGGGCCTGTGGTGCCTGTGGGATCTGTGTGGGTCCTGCGGGGCTTGCGACATTTACGAGACCTGTGGTATCCGTGGGACCTGTGTGGTCCTGCGGGGAAGGGGGGGGGCATCGATTTTCGCGTCGCGGCGCTGCGCGGCGTACGTGGTGTGGGGGTGGGGCGGTGGGGCAGAGGGGCAGAGGGGCAAGCTGCGCGCGCGCGTCCCTTTTCCGTGCTTTAGCTTCCAGTGCGCGAAGCGCACTTTTTCCAATGTTTGCAGCTCGACGGTTTACAGCGCTTACACTTCGGCGCGCTGCGCGCGCCGAAGGTTTTCAGCGTGCACAATTCCGCGCGCGAAGCGCGCCAAACTGTTTACAGCATGTGCACGCCCATCCACGCCCTTCCCCCCCCCCCCTTCCTTCCTTTCTTTATTTGGTCGCCGTGCGCCCCCCACACGCGATTTCCCGCAAAACCGAACTCCCCGCTAACACAGTCCCCGCTAACACAGTCTGCATGCCCCCTCCCAGGGTGTGTGCTGGGGTGGGGGTGTCTCGTCGGCTTATGACTGATGCTGATTATCTATGCTGCCCCTCGAGCGACGAAGCACCCCCACCCTGAGGGGAACGATAGAGAGGCCCAGCTCAGGGGAGAAAATCAAGCCGGGATCGACGACACATCGCCAAAAGATCTGCGATAGGCCCCCCGATAGCAAAACACCACGCTCCTGGGCGGGGTGAACTAGCAGGCCCCTATCGGCGATGACTCGGCGATGGGGGGTCGATGCTTCCCCGGGCCCGCCCTTCACTCTCCCTGAGCATATCCCTCCCTAGCGCTCCCCCCGACTAACGAACATCCCCCTCCCCCTAAAGTTGTCCCTGGCACTCAGGATCTCGCCGCATCGCCGGTGCATCGCCGAGGTATCGGCGACGTCGGCAATACAGGGTGCACAAGAACAGCCGACAAACACCAAGAACACTGGGGTACCTTCCCCGGATCGAACTCGGTCCGACTGTACTCCGACCCCATCTGGGAAGCCCGGATCCCCCCCGCGCTCCTGCTCCGCGAAGCGCGCCAGCCGCGCGCGTTCCGCCTCCGTGGCGCCCTCCGTGGCGCCTCCGCGCCGCGCGCGCGGGCGAGCGGCAGCCGAGTGGCCCGCCCGAGGGACGCTCACCGCGGGGGCGTAGAGGCCTGGGGCCGCTGGGCGTCCCGGCCTCGCAGGAACTTCTTGCACTGTTTATTGCGGGCCCCGTGGGGGCCTCTTGTGGGCTCTGCCATACAACGGAAAAGCAGATGACAAGAACGCATCAGCATAGTCACATTCCGTCGGCCGCAGCGGCGTATTCGAGCAAACACTAAATCAGCAACGGCGGTTGCGCCGGGACCTGTCATGTCGAGAAGAAACGAATATGGAACTCACAGAAATTAGTATCAGTCCGCCGGCCGCAGCGCAACATTGAAGCAGAAATTAGACACACAACAACGGTTGCCCCGAGTCGGCAGTGATGGAAGAGCGCTGGCGGGTGGGTGCGAGTTGGAGACGATTTTCCAGAAAGGCAGGGGTCGGAGGTGATTCGCCGAAGACGTCTTAGATTCAAAGCTGCGCGGGCACCTCCGACGCCAAATCAAACAGACCATGGCCAATGGTGAGATACGACCGACAAATTGTGGAAACCACTTGGTACTTCACACCGATGGTAGAATTAGTCACTTCACTTTCTGGTGCTCGTGAATGCCAACCGTGCGGGAAACGACAACATTAAGTGGACCTCTCGACTAGAGACTGCCGAGTGCCACCTTGAACAAGATGTGTAGTCGTCTGGCCCGATGGCCACTGGATCTCAACCTGGCCCTGCTTGTGGGGTCCGAGGACCAACGGAATCCAAGCAGAATTCTGAGAATTAAATCCGTGTGCGGAGAGCACTGTTGCATGCCTGCGCCATGACTCTGCAGCTATCACTGTCAAACGCGCTCCAAGAGCATCCCTGTTGCTCCCTCTCTGGCCTCCAGACCCTATCAATCGCACGTACGCAGTGCGATTCTTCCACGACTTTGCCATCTCGCGCGTCACGGAATACACGGAGACTGTTTCACGCGTGTCACACACAATGTCCTGGGCATCAGATGTCGAAGCGTCTGGTGGGGGCCACGTGCACCTGTTTTGCCTGGCAAGCCACGCAGTCATCTTCGTTCCCTCTCCGCTGTCGTAAGAACGTTCCTCCAGGTCTCCTGGCATGTCGAGGTCACTGGTAGCAAAACCTCCGTTGTTGAAAACTAGATCTGTCACTCCGTCTCCGTCAAGATCGCCAAGGGCAATGCCATGGGTCCGGGTCTGACCATGGCCTTTGCTAAGCACGCCTTCCTCCGGGGACCCTTGCTCACACCTTTTCAGTCCCTGCCACCTCCCAGATAGGTTTCCCAGATTACAGACAGCAAAATCATAGTTGCCCCATGCAGGAGTGCCAGTGCCAATGAATGCGTCAGGGAAGCCATCGTGATTGAAGTCACCACAAGCAAGCCCCATGGTGTTCTCATATTTTCGACCTGGATCAAACAAGGCTGATTCAACTTGGTAACGTTCAGCCAGGGAGGACGTATGAGGGTGCGCTCCACGGAGGTCCTTATCAATCACGAAAGCTGACGCAAGCCGCCCATCTGGCCCACCAGTCATCACCAAGTCTGGCATTGACCAGTACCCAAGATACAAGTCCGCCGACCCCTTGTGGGTCTCTAGGCGTGTGAAATAGTTCCCCCCCCTTATAGTCCCCCCCCAGGAACCCCAAACCGGCGATTTGACCCCCCCCCCTGGTGCCCCCCCCCTCGCCGACCACGATTGCGCCACGGGGCTTCTTTGGGCCCACAAAGGGCTCAAGACGAGCGAAAAAGGCCTCCAGACGCGTCCAAGACGGCCCACGAGGGCCTCGAGACGCCAAACGAGCGCTCCAAGACGCTCAAGATGGCCCCAAGACGAGCCAAGAGGCCTCCAAGCCGGCCCAAGAGGCCTCCAAGAGCAGTCCTCAAAAGGGCCGAAAAGCCGAAAATCGTCAAATTCCCTTAGGAAAACGTGCATTTTGATAATATACGACTTGTCGGCCTTCACGGCGTTGAAGACGGTCCAAGAGCACCCCAAGACCGCCCCAAGACGGCCCAATAGGCCCCCAAAAAGGCGCCCAAGTCGGCCCAAGAGGGCGCCAGGACGGCCCAAGAGGCCCCCAAGACGGCTCACGAGGGCCCCAAAACGGCTCCAAGAGGGGCCCAAGAGCGGGAGCTTGAACCGACAATCCGAGCCTTCCGCTCCAAGACGGCCCCTGAAAGCCCCAAGAGGCCCCAAGAGGCCCCCAAAACGCCCCCTAATAAGCTTCAGAAGGCCCCCAAGACGGCCCAAAACCCAAACGGCCCCAAAACGGCCCCCAAGAGGCTTCGAAACTGCCTCCAAGAGTCCCGCGAAAAGCCCCCCAAGAGATCCCAGAAATCAGGGACTGCTTTTGCGCGTCTTGCATTTCAGTGGTGCTGTCCAACAATTCTGAAAATCGACCTTTCCGCCCCCAGGAGCCACACGGAGGCCCCAATAGTGTTCCAAAAGGGCGTCAGATGCCCCCGAATGGCTTCAAAACAACTTTCGTGCCGCGAGATCCCGATACACATTCGAGAAGCCCCTAATCCATGACCAATAACACAAGCTTCATTTCAGTGTCACCCTCCTCCTCCTCCTCCTCCTCCTCCTCCTCCTCCTCCTCCTCCTCCTCCTGTTCCACCTCCTCCTCGTCCCCAACCTCTTCTTTCTCCACCGCTTCATCCTCATCCTCTTCGACTCCCCCCCCCATCCTTCTTTCCCTGCCTCTTGTTCCTCCCCAGCACACGCGCCCGATTGGGCATCATTTGCAGGTATTACATGTCAGGGTGCCCTGTTTGGAATCGCGCGCGACATGGGTAGGGTCGGGGAACGCCGACTTCGGTAGCCTTCTCTTGCACGCACCGCTGCGCTGATACGCCTTGCAACTGCGGGCTGTGAACCCGAGTTCCTTGCAGCCTCCGCACGCCACTTTCACTCCTTTCGCCGCCCGATGATGTTTATTTTGCTTATGCTTCACACGTTTCGTGTCCGAGAACGCTTCTCCGCACGCCGCGCACGTCAGCGATTTCGCGTCCGCCTCGGCCTTCCGTTTGCGATTCCCTGCTTCGTAACTCGTCCGCAAAACCGCGTTTTCCCGCTATTCCGCGCACGGCAGTCGCCGTTCGAACACCGCAAGGTGACCACGCGTTTCCTACTAGTCGACGCAAGCGTCGTCCTTAAACGTTCTGACGCGCATTTCCGACAGAGCCTTTCCCCCGCAGAATTGTGCTTCTTCTGAGTTTCCGACATATCCGCCTTTTCGTCATACAGCGACAGGCACGCACCGTTCGTACATCGCACCTTGCCGACGCTCTCGTTCCACTTCGCGTTGGCGCGCCGCGACTTCTGCTTGGCTTTGACATGGCTGCAACTTGCGCAATACATTGTCCTAATCCGTTTCGTCTCCCCGTCGTCGGCCGCCGCATCCGCGTCCAGTCCGCTACCCTGGCTCGCCGCGTCGTCACCCTCTGCTTTCGTTGCCCACCCTCTGCACGTTGTGCACCACTTCTCGTCCGCGTTTTTCATTTCCTCCGTACACTCTTTGCAGAACGCCGGCCTTTCCTTTCTCTGGAGATCGTACTTCGTGAACGCCTCTGCCAACAACCCCCGCCGGCAGCGCTCGCACTGGTCTCGTGGCATTAGTACCGCGCCCCACTCATCCCAATCCACTTTCTCCCCGCGAAGCACCTGCAATATTTTCTGCGTGCCTGGCATCTCCCCCGCGTTGCCAGTCACGGTGTGTGTGGTCCTAGAAACGCTCGGTTTACCAGTAACGGTGTGCGTGTGCGTGTGTTCCACGAAACGTACGAATTAGCAGTAACGGTGTGTGTGGTCCAGAACACGTACGTGTTACCAGTAACTGTGTGTGTGGTCCAGGACACGCACGCGTTACCAGTAACGGTGCGTGTGCGTGCGTATTCCACGACACGTACGAGTTACCAGTAACGGCGTGTGTGTGTCTGTGTGTATGTGCGTGTTCCATGGCACGTACGGGTTACCAATGGCGGCGCGTGTGTGTGTGTGCGTGTTCCATGGCACGTACGAGTTACCAGTAACGGTGTGTGTGCGTGTGTCAGTACCCGTACGAGTTGCGAGTCACGGTGTGTATGAGTGTGTTCAGAGACACGTACGAGTTGCCTGTAACTGTGTGTGTTCCATGGCACGTATGAGTTACCAGTGACAGTGTGTGTGTGTGCGTTTGTTCCAGGACACGTGCGGGTTACCATGGCACGTACGAGTTACCAGTAACGGTGTGTGTGTGTGTGTGCGTGTTTCCAGACACGTCCGACTTACCAGATACAGTGTGTATGAGTGTATTCCGAGACACGTGCGATTTACCAGTCACGGTGTGTTTGTTCCATGGCACGTACGAACTACCAATAACGGTGTGTATGTGGGTGTGTTCACAGGAAACGTACGAGTTACCAGCTACGGTGTGTGTGTGTGGTCCAGGACACGCACGAACTACCAGTAACTGTTTGTTTCATCCAAGACACGTTCGCGTTACCGGTAACTGTGTGTGCGTGTGTTCCATGGCACGTACGGGTTACCAGTAACGGCGTGGGTGTGCGTGTTCCTGGACACGTACCAATTACTAGTAACGTTGTGCATGTGCATGTTCCGAGACACGTACGAGTTACCAATAACCGTGCGTGTGGTCCGGGACACGTACGGGTTACCAATAACGGTGTGTGTGTATGTTGTCCAAGACACGTACGATTTAGCAGTAACGGCGCGTGCGTGTTCCAAGTCACGTACGAATTACTAGTTTCGGCAGGTGTATGTGCGTGTTCCATGGCATGAACGCGTTACCAATAACGGTGTCTATGTGTGTGTGTGTGTTCCGAAACACGCGCGGGTTACCAGTTACGGTGTGTGTGTGTGTTCCATGGCACGTACGAAATACCAGTAACGGTGTGTGTGTGCGTGTGTTCCAGGACACGTACAAGTTACCAGTAAATGTCTGTGTGGTCCAGGACACGTACGAGTTTCCAGTAACGGT